TGATGGTCCCTCATTGAAAGCATAAATTCAGGAGTGTGAGTTCTTTCTGATTATAAAACCCTTGATCATTATGAAATGACCATCTATGTCTCTTACAACTTCTTTTAGTGAAGTGTATGCTGTTTAATATAAGTATGACTGCCCCAGCCTTTTAAAGGGAATTATTTGCTTAAACTGTGTGTGTGGAATAATTCGGAGTGTTTAGAAAAATTTAAACAATTTCTTATTGATACCTCAGGGAAATGGCATTATTTATAGCCTCCCCAAACACAGTATATATTCAAGGATGTTATTTGGGTTAATCACAGCCATACTGCTTTTTCTTCCTTAGAGAAATCCATGTATTCTCTTGAATATGTATGTCTCTCTCCTCTCACATTTCTATAAATTCCTTTGAATAAACAGGTTGCTTCTGTTTAAAAAAAAATTAGATAACCATGCTTTAATGATCTAAAAATGAAAAAATTATCTTTTGCATAATTACCTCATTAATGTTATTAATAAAGAAAGTGAACATCTGTATTATCCAAAACTTTTTTTTTCTGAACTGATTAATACCGCTCATTGATCACAGATTACTTGGGGACAGTTTTGTACATAAATCGTATTACAGAGTTTTGAGTACAGGTCAGATAAAGATAAATTGATTAAAAAATATAGTTGTAAAATTAGAACATAAGGTATATTTCATTTCCTTGAATAGTGTTTAGAAGTGAGGAGGGGGATAAACTATAGTATTTTCAAATGTTCCAACCAGAAAGTTTTCTTATTTATTTATTTTAGGTTTGAGCCAGACTCTGAAGAGCTCAGGGGATCATGTGGTACCAGGATTTTAACCTGGGCTCCTGCATGAAAAGCATATATTCCATCCTTTCTCTGCCTTATTTTGGTACTGAAGGTTGAATTTAGGGCCTGTCATGCAAGACATGCACTCCATTATTGAGCCTTATTTTCTGGTCCTTAAAAGGTTAAAAATTATTTTTGTTCCCCTTCGTCTTTTTAAAATACAGTATCATTTATGAAAAATCTGCACTATATTCCCAAGAAATAGAATTTTATGTAATGCCAAGTAAAAAGCATTAATTTCTTTGGATTTTGGGCCACTCCCAACCACGTGATGCTGGGATCAAACTGGGGTGGGCCATGTGTAAGGCGGTTTATTCCTTGTACTATCTTTCTAGTCCCAAGGAAATTAATTATTATTCATTATATTTATCAAGGAAATTCTATTGGTTGAAATGCTGGAATGGCCATTGCATCTTACAACTTAATTTGACCCAAGGGAAAAATTGCTGTACTATGATACAAGAGCCGAGAGCTTCAGCTTTAGTTTGGAGATCGAATCCTATAAGCCTGACCAGCCACTCTGCACAAGTCCAAGAGGAATGGGAATTACAGACTTTAGTTTTAAGAGGGAGAATGTCTCTTACGGGCGGACTGTGCTTTATATTCAGGCTTATTCATTTGTCAGAATTGTACAGTCAAGGTTTGTGTGTTAATTACCTCTACCATCTAGAAAAATAGACTGGTTAGCAGGTATGCATGAAGATGAAAATTTTTGAAGTGAATGATAAGTACATGGTATTATATTACTCATTTTATATGCATTTTGGGGCTGGAGTGATAGCACAGAGGGTAGGGCGTTTGCCTTGCATGCGGCCGACCCGAGTTCGATTCCCAGCATCCTATATGGTTCCCTGAGCACTGCCAGGAGTAATTCCTGAGTGCATGAGCCAGGAGTAACACCTGTGCATCGCCAGGTGTGACCCCAAAAGCAAAAAAAAAAAACCCAAAAAAACCTGCATTTTCATAATAGAATTTGTTTTAAAAAGTAGCATCTTGGCTTGTCGTTAGAAATTTGAATTCATTTTGAATTCATATGTCAAGAACTAGCCATATAAGAATATTATTTGGAAATGTAGAAGTAAATAAAAGGGAATATCAGTTAATAGATGTTCAAGTGGTTCCCTCTCTGCATCAGGGATCAGAGTGGAAAGAAACGGAATTAGGGAATGCTGTCTATATTTTGTTTTAGGGTTTTAAGCTTCATCTGTGTACTACTTAATAAGTGATGTATTTTTCTGGATCACAACATTTCCTCCCCCACCCCCAAGGAAAATATTCAGGTGACCAAGTATGCATAATTTGTATGGAATAGATAAAATTTCTGTTTCTGCATGATAATTTTGACAGTATGTCCAGTTATTTACATTGCCAAAGGTGGTGATTTTTAGTTAAATTGCCACTTCAGATAGGTAAGACTAGAAACTTTTTAAAAAAGTAGTTTTATGTGAGAAAACAGAACCTCATAAGGGAAGAAGAGTTACACTTGGAATGCAGAGCCTCCAAAATACAGTGCCAAGAATGTTGTTAGTTTGCATACAGTTTCTCATCTGTGTTCTTGCTTTTCTTGGGCAGTACTTTGTAGCCAAGAGTAATCATAAATAAGCTCATAGGAGCGATAGCACAGCGGTAGGGCGTTTGCCTTGCACGCAGCCAACATGGCCAACCCGAGTTCGATTCCTCCGCCCCTCTCGGAGAGCCCGGCAAGCTACCGAGAGTATCTCGCCCGCACGGCAGAACCTGGCAAACTCCCCGTGACATATTCGATATGCCAGACACAGTAACAACAAAGTCTCCAATGGAGACGTTACTGGGCCCACTCGAGCAAATCGATGATCAACGGGAGGGCCTTTACCTTACCTTACCTTTACCCTATTTAAAATGCCACCGAAAATTAAGGTAGAAAAATGGGGGGGGGGAGACTTCCTGTTGAAATCGAAATAAAAGAAATAAAACTTAATCTCTTCATCAGTGGCCATCAGACAAGGTCATAAATACTGTAAATAATCGGATGTGCCTCACATTCTCTTGTACTCTACTGGTCATTGTGTCAATCCTAGTGGCCTTATTTGCTCACTCAGTTTGCATTCTTGCCTCTAGGTGTTTTTGTTCTTAACATTTCTCATGAGAGGAGTGTTTCTCTTCATTCAGGATTCTCCTAATTCCTGAAACAAGCCTTCCCAGACTGTAGCTTCTGCTGACACCTTCTGTCTGTTCAAGCGTGGCCCGGGACTAGAGACATAACATTGTCTCAGAGTATTGTGTTTAATTTCTTTAAATATGTATTCTTGAGTCTGTCCTGACCTACTAAAATAAAACCTTCATATTACAAGATTCCCCTCTAATTGTGCATTTGCAGTTTGTTTTTGGACCACACTCGGTTTTGCTTTGGATGTTCATTCCTGGTGGTGGGGGGGGGGGGGGGGGGGCACAGTGGTGGATCATGCCTTGTTGGGGATTGAAAGTGTTTCCCTTGTCCTGAATGTACTTTTAAACTTCTAGAAGCTTTGGCTTACAAAAACCTCCCTTCTCAGTAGAGACACAGAGGTGACTGTGTATTTATTAATCGGCTGATCATTTCTGAGGAAAGTTAGTTTTTTGTTTAGCTGTTTCTGGCTTTGCTTCCCTCAGTGGACTCTCAGCCCCCCCAAGGGCACCACCTTGTCTTATTCACTTCTAGGCCCTAACTTGCCTCACCCTGTTTCAAACATGTTCAGTACGCATTTGTTGGATGAAAGAAGATAATTGTTTTGTGTGCCTTGAAATGTGTAATTGTATAATAAAAGTCTTCATGGCTCTCATTGCTTGTAGAATTGGGGTTATTATCTCTCAGCATCGTCAGTATAAAGGCTTTTACTCATTTCTCGAACAGAATACTATTAACACGTTGATGGCAGGTATACCACTGGTGGCTCACAGTTAGATGTGGCTTAAACACACTGCTTCGTCAGTATCAGGTTGTAAGTGGTGTGATTAAGTTAATACAGCAGGTAGTATGCTTGCCTTGCGTGTAGTACCATATACCGTGCTGTGAGCACTGCCATGAGTACAGAGCCAAGGAAAGCCCTGGGCAGAGACCAGTGTGGCCTTTCCTTCCCCATTACCCTTCCCTCCAAAAAAATAGTCTGTGTTTCTAATTTTTTTTCTGAACTGTGTCAGTTGTATTGACTGCTTCACTGTGGATTTCAAACCACGACTGGTGTTTTCTTTTTGAGTTTTGAAAGGTCTCAGAGTTAAATTATCATGTAAGCTTTTTAAAATTCAGTATGTGCATCAAATTTTATTAAATCCTATTTTGAAAAGTATTTTGAAGATGTTAGGTCACCTGTATATAATTTTATTTTCTAAGGTGGGTGTCGGGTCACGCTCTGCTGCGCAGGAAGCCAGATGGTGCTGGGGTCCGCAGTTTGCAGCAGAGACCTTAATCCTTGAACTGTAACTGACTCTCAGCTGCAGGTTTTGAAGTTAGAAACCGATGGTGTTTCAGTTTTACTTTTTTTGTTTTTGTTTTTGACCCACATGCTGTAGTTGTTAAGGGTCACTCCTGGCTGTGGTCGGTGCCAGGAATCCAACCTGAGGGTCTTCTGCATGCACACGATGTGCTCAGCCCATTGAACAGGGATCCCTCTCTCTGGCCTTCAGTTTTGTACTTCTGCAATACAGTTCCAGGAAAGAACTGTAGTTTCATACTGTGCCCAGTGTACACATATCCTCGTGTCTCTACAACTTGAAATGAGTGATTCAAAGCTTCTGACAGTGGCTTGCACTGGGGGTGGTGTTGACCCCAGGGGCATGTCTTAATGGCTGTTGGTACTCAGCACTGTGGAAGGTGGCAAAGGAGCCCTGATCCATGCATCTCCTGGGCCAGGGTTTTCTCTCGACCCCTGTGATGTTCTCAACAGTCTCCCACCACAAAGAATTCTTTAGTCTAAATTGTTGCTGGTGCTGCTGCTAAGAGATACTGGCAATCATTATGAGAGCATTTTCTCTACAAATACTGGTGCCATTAGAAAAAAGATTCGTCTTAAACCTTTTGGAAAATAGATATATAGCAATTGGTAACTTAGAGATTTGGATGGGTTTATAACAAGATAATTTTACATCTTTTAAAATAGGAAAACTCAAATGTAGGTTTACTGATTTTCCTTATTTTACAGATGGGGTCGAGGATTTGGTCTTTTGGGTTCCATTTTTGGAAAGGATGGTGTATTAAACCAGCCAAACAGTGTCTTTGGACTTATATTTTATATACTACAGTTATTACTTGGTAAGTACTTATACAGCAATAACAAAAGTTAGGTTATTTTATTTCATTCCATTTACTACTTTGTCTTTACCTGGTGTCTTGAAATTAAATGAAAGTTAATGATAGAACCATTAATTCATAGCACATTTTTTGTGTTGTGAAAATTTGGTTCACTAAGATTTTGATGATGCTAATAGCTGTAGCAGCAAAACATGATGTCCAGAAAAACCACTCCTATACAGAGGAATTAATGCTCCAGTCTTACTGTTTCACTTTTTCCATGGTCTTTTGTTTTCACTTAATTTTATGTGATTTCTTTTCTGTTTTCTGTCCTCTTAAGTGTTTTGTTATTATTGAGGGTTTTTTTTTTAAGAGTTTCATTTGTTTTTCTAGGGGGGCATAATCAGCAATGCCTTGGGGACCATTAGTGCATGGAGATCAAACCCAGGGCTCTGCATGAAAAGTATGCCCTCTTAACCCTTTGATATCTGGCCCAGTTTTTTTCCTTCCCTGTTCTAAATAAAACTAGTGACCATTTTTCTCTAAAATTCTTCTCGCAGAATATCCAAATATGGTCAGGATGAGTCAAAAAACATAGGAAGGCCAGAGAGATATTCTATCTGTGGTTAAAGCTCATGTCTTGTCATGTGGCTGACCCTGATTTGGTCCCTGGCACTTCATAGTTCTGAGTATGGCCAGTGACCCCTGAGCATAATCCAGGAGCACCACTGGGTGTGGGGCCCCAAAACCAAAGAAACAAGTAAGTTTTAAAAAAACAAACATATATAGGGTCAGAGATGTGCTCACTTTAAAATGTAGATGAGGTGAGTTCCTGGTTCAGTTCCTAGTACCACACACAGGACTTTTGTTGTTTCTTTTTTAATCTACCAAAATTGCTTTTCTATCACTGGACAGGTTTCCCTGAAGTTTTATCATCCTCAATTTTAAACTGTTTCCTGAAAAAAAATTGAATGTAACAGGTACATGTTGATTGCCGTCATTTAAATTTTACTGTATTTTGGTTTCCTCTCCTTTTAATTATGAATTTTGATTGAACAAAAGTTTGTGTAATTTAAGGATGAAATTCTCCCTTTTTTGTCTTTGCGTCTCAATGTTATTATTTCCTCTATCAGCTTTTCTGGGCCTGTGATGTTCATTTTGGAGGAAGGGGACTCCCAAGCAATATTGGGAGGCCTGGAGGCCCCACCAGCTAACCAGGCCATTGATTGGTTCAGCACAAGGGCCAGCAAGTACAGTGCTGCTTGGGCCCCGTGGGGTCAGCACTACCTGGGCCACATCTGACAGTGCTCATGTGGACATGTTTTCCAGGAATTGAATTCAGGCCCCAGCTGCCCTGACGATCACTTTTTATGAGATGAATTGTAAACCAACATTTTTCTTAAGTTGCCCAACTCTTCATATTTGCTTAAGGAAATAAAAATATGCATAAGAATATTCAAAACAGTACAGCTTAAAATAGCAAAAACGAAAAAAAAAATAGAGTAGCTTATTTATAATGTTTGTTAAATCAGGTTCATCCGTACTAGAAAATACTATGTGACCAGTATAGGAAAAAGTAGGTCTACATGTGATATCCTGGAAAGATCAAAACCAGTTTAGTGAAAATTAAAAAAAAAAAAAAGAGTATCATAACAGTAAGTGTGTGTGTGTGTGTGTTGTGTGTGTGTACGTGTGTGTTTGATAGCTGGGGTGAGATTTTTTACTTTTGTTTCTATTTGTTTTGTATGGATTTTCAATAAAGTCCAAGTTCAGGGTCCAAGAAAACTTAGTTCTGGGTCTGAGATTGTAGCTCAGTGGTAGATTTGCCTTGCATCTATGAGGCCTGGGTTTGATCCCTGCAACACAAAATAAGATTTTTGACTGTGTTAATTTCTGGAAAGAGATGAGACATGTTTCAATTTTATCATATACACTTTTTAGGTGATTTTTGTTTTGTTTTTGAACCATGCCTGGATGTCCTCACGGCTACTCCTTGCGCAGTGCTTGGGAGGGTCACTTCTGAAGGTATTTGGAATCCCTTGTTCTCGGGGTTGACCCCAGGCCTCCTGCGTACAGAGGGTGCGCTCCAGACTTGGAGCTACCTCTGCACCCTATACACACTTAGAATTGTGTATCATGTGTTTTCCCTTGTTTTTCCATCTCATTCCTGATTGGTAGCTGTTGCTTCTTGTTGATGTTTCTTTAGATATATACAAGAAAATACAAATCTTAATTTGTTATTTGTGTGTGTGTGTTTGTGAGAGAGAGGCACACCTGACGGAGCTGAGGGCTACGTCCTGGCCCTTTGCCAAGGATCACTCCTGGCAGGACTCAGGTAGCCATGTGGGGTGCTGAGGATCAAACCCTAGTTAGCCTCATGCAAGGCAATCGCCTCACCCACTATACCATCTCTCCAGCTCAAATTCTCCTTTAAAAAAAAATGTAAAAGATAGACACTGTTCTACAGTTTATTTTTGTTTTCTTTTTGACTTAAACATCTTGGGCATCTTTCTGTGACAATAGTTCACTGCCTGATTGTGCCATCATTTATTTATTCAGGGCTGTAGCACCGTTTAAATCATCGTGATTTTTAAAACACTGTTGTGGAAGCTACACCTGTGATGCTGGGTGGGAAGGGACACTGCTTGGGGAGGGAGGGTGGAATCAAACCCAGACTTTGACACGGGATCTCCTACTCGACACTTCTCCAGCCCTACCAGGGAGATATTTCTCCCTGGCCACCAGCTATCATCCCAGGACAGGTATTTATTAGATAAAATAGCACTTATTTAATAGCTGGTATTGGGCCAGGGAGGTGACTCAGAGAGCTAGAGCACATAGTCCTTTGCAATGTGGGAGTATGTCCTGGTCCCCCCAAGTACCACCCCTGTGCTCTGCCCAGTGTGCCCCAGAAAAACGAAAATAAGGATAGCAGGTCTTTCTGAAATTTTAAGTGCTTTATACATATTAGCATAATTAGCAATATAATAGAAGCTAGGGTGTAATCATGATATTAAATAACAATGTAATTTTGAAACTTAGATAAGTATTAATCTTTAAATTTTTTAAGTGCTTAGCGTTAAGTGAAGTCAGCCAACTTCAGTGGAGGGCCAAATAGGAAATAACTTAGGCTTTGCCAGCTGGGGCAACTCTGCTGCCACTGCAGTGTGATCGCCTCCGTAGACATCACATGAATGCATGCGTGTGGGTGGGATGCAGTAAGTCTTTCATTTATAAAATCTGGCCAGTCAGATTTTCCAGCTTTTGGCACAAGTAACTGAACAGGCTCTTAGTCATCTTGAAGGGTCTTTAAAGCACCAGACTCCAGGGCTACCTGCTCTGATAAGCAGGTGGTTTCTGTGGCTGGGCTGCAGCCCACAAGTGAGGACTTCGCATTCCTCAGGTAGCTAATCGCCTCAAACCCACTCTTAGCAGTTAACTGTTTTCCTTTTTTCTGTGATTCTTAACCATTAGTTGCTGGGTAGAAGAAAATGAATATACATATTTTCAGTACTCTCGGCTATACAAAATATAGATATGTGAAGATGTCAGATGGAATAAAATATCTGGTTGGTTTTTTGTCTTGAAAGCTTTGGTTCAGTGCACACAACTGTCTTTTTTTTCCCCTGCTACATGACACCAACAGGCCAATGTGGTTTCACTCATTCACCATGGTGAACTTTTTCTGAAATATTTTTCACAGATACGTTCACTTTTCCAGCAACATGTTGTTAGAATCATCTCCCATTGTTAATTTTTTTTATCTTTTTTTTTTTCCCTAACACGGAAAAATAAATTTTTATTCTACAGAAAGGCCAGGGGAGGGACTCACCAAATGGTTTCTGCTTAGTTTATCCACTAGGAGAGGGGGGCTGTTAGTCTTACAAACCAGCTTCATTGATTGCAGGATTATATTTTCTTTGTGTGACTTCATTTATAAAATAAGCAATATTTGAATTTTGAATTTGAATATGTTGGCAAGTCAAGCAAGTAAAGCTGGTAACTTTACAATCAACATAATCTTAACAAAACAGATCTGTAGTTTAATTCTTTTTGGGGGGGGGCGCGTTGGTGGTGTGAGGAGATTGGGGGCCAACACCTGGTGGTGCTGAGGGCTTTTTCCTTTCTGGGCCTATGCTCGTAAATCAATCCTGAGAAAGAGCCAAATAGAAACTGCTGCCCTGAAGGGACCATATGCGGAGACAGGGATCGAACTGAACTGGGGTCAGTCACATTCAAGTCAAGTACCTTAACCCCTTTACAAATTCTCCCTGACCTGCAATCTTTCTATTTGTTTGTTTTGGGGCCACACCTAGTGGTGGCTGGGATCAAAGCAGGGTCATCTATGTGTAAGGCAAGAGCTGATCTGCAGTACTGTCACCCTGGCCCTGATCTGTAGGCTTTTTGGGGGGGAGGGCCATACCTGGTAATGCTCAGGGGACTGTATGGGGTACCAGGGATTGCACCAGGATGGGCTGCATGTGAGGCAAATACCCTTTCTGCTATCTCTCCAGCCCCCTTAAAATCAAGTTTTCTAGTGCTTCTTCAGTAAGATCAGTATGCCAGAGCCGCAGCACACAACACAATGTTCCCTTTTAACTCCAAAACCGCCTGTGCAGTGCCAGGTTTGATTGAGCCAGGTGTCTCCTTCTCTTGCAGGCATGACAGCAAGTGCGGTTGCAGCTTTAATCCTCATGACCTCCTCCATCGCGTCTGTGGTAGGCTCTTTGTACCTGGCCTACATTCTGTACTTTGTGCTGAAGGAGTTTTGCATCATCTGCGTCGTCACATACGTGCTGAACTTCATACTTCTTATCATCAACTACAAACGACTAGTTTACTTGAATGAGGCCTGGAAAAGGCAACTACAGCCCAAGCAGGACTGACGCCCAGCAGGACTCTCTACCTGACAGTCTCAAGTCCCCTTTTCCATTAAGTTTATTCTGCAGCAGTTTTTGTTTCGTTTTGTTTTTTATTCTTCACAAAAGACACTTTCCTTCCGAATCTTAAACTGGTTTTTTAAAAATCCTGTGAATTAGAAGGGGCCCTACCAATTTTCGGTGTCAATCTTCATTTTAAACACGGATACAAAAAAAAAAGCTACGCCAAGCCAATCAGAGACAAGCTTTAACTTTACTTTGAGGATGTTTTCGAAATAATAAAATGTAGTCCTAGCCCTCTACCCTCAATTGTAAAGTAAGCAAACATTGCTAGTAATTCTCTAATGTGTATGAATTAAATTTCAGGTATAACAAATGTGATCATGACATGAAAATATTTTAGAATAGATACTGTATTAAATATTGCCATGTTTACAATATGTAATATGTTTTTAGCCGATGGATTTAAACATGTAGATTCAACTAGAATCCATTTATGTGACATTTGTAAATAAAGGTAGAAATATTGGATCCATCCCTGCAGAACTTACTGTACCACTTAGTTGAAGTGTAGCAATGAAGCACTGTCAGCTCAGTGCTGATGGGAGAAATAGTGAAGATAGTGAGTCCACACAGAGCATCTTGCGAAAAGTACTGCTAGCTATGGGTCCAGTATTGAAAAACGGAAGAAGAGGGTGGTTGGTTCCCTTTCATCTCCGTCCTCCAAAAGGAACTAAAAATGGAGATTCAAGTTTGCGTGTAATCATAAAACTGGATCAATTATAACCTTACAGAACAAGACAGGTGAACAGACCTTAAATCCAAGGCCTTCAGAACACTAAAGATGGGGAAAGGAGATTTCTTGGGAGAAAAGCTGGAAATACTAATATGGCCTTGTTGGGAAAGTCTCACAACAACTCAATTTTCATGCTGACACTTTTGCTTGATACTGGTGCCAGTCAACCGAACAGTATTACAACTTTGAAATAACCAGTCTCAGCACAGTTGCTCCAGAGTAGGACTGCTCTCGGGTGGCTCTGTCACATAGTGTTTCCCCCGTTTCTTTCTGCACTAACCAATGTTAAGTCTAGTGTTTCAGTCTTTGGATTTCTAAACGTCAGGGCTGACACACTGCTCAGTTCGCTTAACCAGGAGGAATAATATAGGTAGAAATATCTACAGTAATGTTGTCACTACTCTTTTAATAACTACAAATGCAGAATTTTAGAAAAGCATTTGAATAAATTCAGATGAAATTGTGAGAGTATGTTTCTACAGTTAACATCTTAAATCAGAATGTTAAAAGTGCCTTCTGTCTTAAATCTCAAACCAAATATTTTGTGTGTTGAACTTGGGCAGAAGTGTCCTTCCTTTCTTACTGCAAAGTCAAAAACTCTTATTCTGCAGAAAGTTCTCTATGATTATTTTATTCCTTTGGTTGAGTAGTAGTAATGTTTTGCTTACAATTCGATTAATCATTGTTAAAAACAGATCAGTACTTTTGAGTGCTTTATTTACCTTCTTTTTGAAGGGAAGGGACAGACTCTACTCTGTAAACCATAATGTGTCAAGTCAGCAACTAACTGTTCAGCAGTTTCCAACTGTCATAATTGATGCAGCGTTCTTCTGGCCCAAAGCAGGTATCAAATCTGAATTGTAGTGAATTTTTAACTAGTTTTAACCATTTTGTAAAGATAAATTAATTGAGATTTCATCAAAGTTTATGTTGTCCCATGAATGTGAATATTTCAATGCCTGTTTTATGTATGTACTGTTCTTATTTCTATAGTTAAAGAAGTCTAGAAAACAATGATTGGATGGATGTCTGGTGTCTGGAGAAGCAGTGAGGTCATCTAGTTACAGTGCTTCTAGTTCTACTCAGCAGTTTGCTGCTTTCCTTTCCTAAGAGTGGAAATGGCTTAACGGTTAAGACCTCTGTGTAACACCAGTTGTGCTAAACAAGTTCCTTGTGTCCCAAGTGAAAATGGTTTTTCATCACATTTTGTAAAACTCAGCAAAGTATAGTTAAAGCTTGTCTTAATGTTGCATTCCTGCAAATGTCTTCAACTCAACATGAGAAAATGAAAAAGAAATGTAAAAGAATCTCCTAGTTTTTACATTGCTTTTTTAATTAAGCCTTGGTGAAAACATAGTTTGTTATATAATTTTTTTTTGCCACATTCCCGTGACCCCAGAAGAATTGTCCTTTTCTCACTGAACAATGTACATATGCTGCCCGAAACAACAGCATTATTGTGCCAATAACTCAATATGCAACAGAACCCCCTGTGGGTGTTACGTGGTATTTTTACCTTGGGAGAATTTAGGCTTCCCTCTACATTCTCTCCCATCCGAGAAAAAGGAGAAAACATCATGTGATAAGATTTCGGGATTGTCATTTGGGGATTTTGGGGGTTGGATCACACTCAGCAGTGCTCAGGGGCTCACTCAGCCCTAGCTCTGTGCAAAGGGCTCACTCCAAGTAAGGCTTGGGGACCATATGTGTGGTGCTGGGCGTCAAACCTGGGTCAGCTGTATGTTGGCAACACCTTAATCCCTGTACTATCCAGCCCAAGATTAGAATGAATATCTAAGCATTATCAGCCACCAATGTTGATGAACAGACTAAGGGGGAAAGAGAATCGCTACCCCCCCCCTTACACACACACACACACACACACACACACACACACATACACACACACACCCCAAAATAGTCTATCCTTGGTTTTGAAATGACTCTGGGTAGTCATATTTGAGGAAATAATAATAGCAGGTCAGATGATAAATTCTAGGAAACCTGTGTGGTTTAAAGGATTTCATTTGGGGGGCCGGAGCAACAGTACAGTAGGTAGGGTGCTTGCCTTGTACACAGCCTACCCAAGCTCAATCCCAGGCAACCCATATAGTTCCCAGAGCACCATCAGGAGTAATTCCGGAGTCCAGAGTCAGGAGTAACCCCTGAGCATCACTGGGAATGACTCAGAAACCAAGAGAAAAGGAAAGGATCTTATTTGGTTTTTTCATTGCAGCTAGTCGTCGGTGAGGGTAACCTTTTGGTAAACTAACTCAGGTGTCTGCCAGAAATTACTTTTACTTGATATATGTAGCCTCTATTTAAATCCATTTACTTTTAAAGAATATTGAAAAATTTTGACTTTATAAAATAGGCTTCGATCTAAAATTCGGTTGAAGAGATCTTTGGATCTACGAAGTATATATACAGGACCAAGATTACAGTGAAATTAAAACTATGTATTGACAAGTTTACTTGTATTTCATTATATTTGTTAGACCAGCAAATGTGCAGTTATTTCAACAGTTCCTTCATAACCAAGATTGGTGCCAGCGCTTGCAATCTCCGTGTGCTGACAGGAGCTCTTCTCGTGAAAATCAGTATTAGGCCAACAAGAAACTCTTGTATTTGGCAAGCAATATCTATAATGTGCAACCCCTTCCTCTTGTATTCTGTCCCCAAACACAAGAATTGGCGAAACATTTTTTCTTCAGACACTTAGGCGGCACTTAAGTGATTCCTAACTTGTGAGAACAACCCTTCGATAAAACAAAAGGGGTTAGGGTGGGAGTCCATTCTTATTGGTTAAACTTTTTCTCTTTTTAAATTGGCCCAGAAAACATGAAATGCTTTATTATAAAACTGTATTAAGCATGGCCTAAGTATTAGGTGTATGATCTGTATAGTATGTTCCATCAAAAATATTTATTATTAGTGCTTTAAGCTCCAGAGTAAATTAATTTCAAACTGAGTTCACTGGGCAGATTTTCCCTTTAATATAGATAGAAATATTCTTTATCAGAGATTTAGGACACAGTTTTGCTAACTGGTAAAAAAAACAAATGTAAATATGTAAGAATGTTTATTTGTTGCACATAACTTTTTTGGTATAAAATAAATGTAGAAGTTACCCTGTGGAAGTTGTGCTGCCATTATTCTTATACTGTACTAAACATTATGAGAGGCTAAAATTAACTTGGTCGTCTTAAAAAACAGTTAACTTTTTTATACCTCTGGACCAGTGATTGAAAAGTGCTACTGCAAACTTCCTCTAACTTCATTTCTACAGGTGAACTAACTTCCAGAAGATAGAAGCAGAGTTCTTAGAGATTCTTGTTCTTGAATTCCTGTAGGTTTATGTTTATGTGGTTGACAGAAATTAATAAAATCATGTCGACTGCTTAAGGTTGGTAAACAAATAGAATATAACCATATGCAGTTTTTCCCTACTGCCTTACTAAAGATCACCTTGAATGTTCCAGTGACTTCCAAAATGGTAACATCTACAGGAACGATGAATCCATATGAAATACAGTTTGGCTTGCTTTCTTTAAAAAAAAAAGATGTACGAAGTTATTAATCGGGTTTTAGGCATATAATATTTCAACACCAATCCCACCACCAGTGTCAGGTTCTATCCACAAGTGTTCCCATGTTTCCTCCTGGCCCCCACCTTGATTTCTCTCCTCCTTGTTCTCCTATACTTTGGGGTCAAGAGTGATCTAGGCATCCACTCCTTATTACCTTACATTCCCTTGTCCAGTTATTCTAAATACCATATAGAAGGGAGATCACCGGTCTTCCTTCTTGCTTCATTTAACATATCTTCCAGTTCCATCCATGTTGCAGCGAATTATATGGTTTCATTGCATCTTAAAGCCGCACAGTGCAGTGTCCCATTGTGTATTTATATGCCACATCTTCATGATCATTTAAGGCACCTTGGCTGATTCCATATCTTAGCTATTGTATGTAGTGCTGCAATGAATAATAGTGTGTATATGGCCATTTGAAAGAGTTTTTCTGCCCTGGAGATGTCCAACAGTTGAGGTCCTGGATCGTATGGCAGCTCAGTTTTAAGTTCACTGAGAACTCCCTATACTGTTTTCCAGGTGGGTTGAACTAAACATCATTCCCACCAGCAAAGACATCCTGCCAAGACAGATTGTGCCCACACATTTCTTATGTGCCATTCTTACTGGTGTGAGTTGGAGTTGTCTTTACCTGGATTTCCTTTATATGATAAGTGATGCTGAGCACTTTTTCATGTGCCTATTGGCCATCCAACTGAGAAAGAATAGGCTGAGAAATATCTATTCTTTTCCTTTCCCCATTTTTTAAATGGGGTTTTGGATTTTGTTGTCATTATTATTGATCTTTGGGGCTACTTATATATATCCTGGGTATCAACCTCTTTTTTGTTGTTGGCTTTTTGGGTCACACCCGGCAATGCACAGGAGTTACTCCTGGCTCTGCACTCAGGAATTATCCCTGGCATTGCTCAGGGGACCATATGGGATCCTGGGAATAGAACCCAGGTTGGCCGCGTGCAAGGCAAACGCCCTACCCGCTGTGCTATTGCTCCAGCCCCTGGGTATCAACCTTTTATCTGATGTAATGAGATTTTTTCCCCATTCAGTTGCTTTTGGTATTAGCCCATATACCTTTTGCATGCAGAAAAGCTGATTCGATGTCCCATTTTTTTTCTCCCTCTAACTTTAAACACAGTGGTTCACAAATTTTGTTCATAATAGTTGTTTGGGGCATTCAGTATTGCAACACCAATTCTGCCACCAGTGTCACCTTCCCTCCACCACTATCCCTAGTTTCCTATCTACCCATTCTCCAAGCCACTTCCCAAGCAGGCACAAAATAATTTATTTTATATTGCTTGTTATAACAAAATGGTAGGTGAAATTATTTTTTTAAGGCTCAGTATAAGAAAGTTGATGAAAATTCTTATATATTTCATGGTGGTGTTATTCAAGTCATTGAGGACTTCCTGAACTATTTGTAGAAGGCTAGCTGAGCCTTTTGTGTTTTTGCTTATTGAACTTAGTGGGTTTTATGTTACTTTCTCATAAAATTTTCTGTGCTCCTACTGGGCTGTCAGTGTTGAGGACTTAGGAGGTTGCATCCAGGAGCTTCTGGAGCTGTGGAACTGGGATGGTTCTCATCCTACCACCTCCTGAGTCTACTGTAGTTTTCAGCCCAAAGACTGGAATTCCTGTGAATTTCATTGGCCTACTGTCTCTTCTGAGATTATAAAGCTGTGGAGCTAGGCCATTTTCATGGAAATGCTGTGAGTGTGGGGGTTTCTGGCAATACGGTGGATGGAAGGAGGTTGCCCACACTGACTCTGAGAAGACCCCTGAGTTTTCAGCCTGAAGACTGCACCGTGTACCTGGGAGTTTCGTTAGCAGAGTATCTTCTGATACTGTGAAGCTGGGTCATTTATATGGTGGCTGTGGGGTGTGGGTGCAGCATCTGGGGCCTCGGTGGAGCAGGAACTCAGTCTGCCTCACTTCTGAGGAGGCCCCAGGGTTTTCAGCCCAAAGATAAGGACTTGTGAATTTCATCAGCTTAGTATCTCTTCTGAGATTAGCCTTGCAGCTGGAAAGCTGGGCTGTTTACATGGCAAAGGCTGTGGGTGTGTCTGCAAACTGTTTTTGTATGTTGACGTTGTAGCCTTTGTTGACTTTGCTGAATTGATTTACTGTTTCTAGAAACGTTTAGTGGACTCTTTAGGGTCTCCTCTGTATATTACCATGTCATCTGCAAATTGTGACAGTTGGATTTCTTCTTTCCAGATTGGATCCCTTTGATTTCTTTTTTGTCTGATTGCTGTTGCTCAGACTTTGGATATACTATATTGAACAAAATGAAAACAGTGGACGTACTTGCCTTGTACCTGACCTCAGCAGGAATGCTTTCAGTTTTTCCCACTAAAAATAGTGGTTGTGTGCTTTTTACAGCCATTACTATCTTGAGAAACCTTCCAACCCATTTTGTTGAGATTTTTTATCATGAGTGTATGAATGTTGGATCTTTCTTTGCATCAGTTGATAGCATATGAGCTTTGTCTTTTTTTTATGCGTATTGTTTATTGATTAGTATATGTTGAACCATCCTTGCATTCCTGGGATGAATCCCACTTGATAACGATGTATCATTCTTTTGATGTGTTGTTGGATTCAGTGTGTTAAGATTTTGTTAAGGATTTTTGTATTAATGTTCATCTGGGTCTGAAGTTTTCTTTTCTATCTGCTTTATGTATGAGTGTAATGTTAACATCACTGTTAGGATTTCTGTTTCTTCAATATTTTGGAAGAGTTTAAAGCATATCAGCATAAGTTTTCTGAAGAAATGATAGTACTCACCAGTAAACCATCTTGAATGGATCCTTTTTTTCTTGAAGAGATTCTTAATTTCTGTTACAATAATTCCTTGCTTTTCATTGGCTTGTTCAAGCTTATTGCTTCCTCCTTTTTCAATTTTGGAAGATTACCTGATTCTAAGAATCTGTTCCAGTTTAGGAGCATACAGCAGTTCATAGTAACCTCCCATATTATCTTCGATTTCTAAAGGGTTTGTTGTGATTTGTCCCCTTTTCTTTGATTCTGTTTATTTGGACATTTTCTCTCCTTTCCCCTATAAGTCTGTCTAGAGGCATATCTATCTTGTTTATTCTGTCAAAGACCCAGCTTCTGGCTTCATCAATTCTTTGTATTGCATTCTTAGTTTCTATATTACTGATTTCTGCTCTAGTTTTTATTATCTCCTTCCACTTTTTTAGTTTGTTGTTTCTGCTCTAAATTTTTGACGTGCATTTAGATTGTTGACTTGGGCTTCTTTCTTTCTTAATGTAGGCCTGCATTGCTATAAATTTCCCCTAGAACAGCTTTTGCTATATGTCAGAGATTCAGATCACTTGTATGTTCATTTCCAGGAAATCTTTTTATTCCTTGATTTTTCTTTGATCCAGTTGATATTTGGCAGTAACTTGTCCAGTTTGGAAGCTTTCTTCTAATTTCCTTTCATGGCATTGTGAGCCGAGAGAGTACTCTGTATGATTTCTGTATTTGTAAATTTATGTGTTTGAGTTATCCCCTCCCAACTGAAGAACCTTCCATGTGCACTAGAGAAGAATGTGTACTCAGTTTTCATACATAACCCTGTATATGTCCACTAATCCTAGTTTTCAAACTCCACATTTATTGTTTCCATCAATACGTTTATTTAGATTTGTGAGCAGAAATCTTTGAAAAGTTTTCTGGCCTTTAATTTGGTTCATAGATTTTGGTATGAACACTTCTTGTTTCGTTGTTGCCTTAATCACTAAGCAGCGTCCCTATCTGTCTCTAGTTTCTCTGGGTTGAATGCTGTTTGGTATGGCTGTCTTATTGGTGTTTTTTTTTTATTTTAATCTACCATTGGCTTGTATGATTGTTTTCTATCCTTTCACTCTGAGACTGTGTCACGAGTTTGTGTTTTCTGTAAGCAGCAGATAAATAGATTTTCTGATCCATCTGGCTGTTCTGTGCCTTTGGATAGGAGTATTTCGTCCATTGGTGTTCAGAGAGATTATAAAGGGCTATTTTCCCATTGTGTGCATAATTTTGCTCTTTTCACAAATGTCCTTTTGCTTTTTTAGGTGGCCTCAGCAGGATTGTTTGCAGGATTGGTTTAGGTGTTGCAGATTTTGCCGACTCATATTTCTCTGAAAACATTCTTAAAAAGCTCCATCAGATCTAAATGAGAGGTTTGCAGAGTAATAGGTTGGAAGGTTTTTTTTATTTGATACTTTGAATGTGTCATTCCACTCTTTCTTGCTTGTATATCACATGGGAGATCTGCAATAATTATTTCCCTTGCATATGGGAGATCTGCAATAATTATTTCTCTTGCACTAAAGGTTTTTCCTCTCTCTTGAAGTACTTTTGTTTTTACCATTTTAATTGCTCTGTGTCTTGGTGTCGATTTGTTTGCGTTGATTTTGTTTGGTGCTCTTTGGGACTCTTGAATCTGTGCAGAAGTTTCCCTCCATAAACTGGGGATGTTCTGAATTATTACATTGATCTGTCATTCTCCCCCTTTTTCTTCTTCCTCACCTCCTGGTATTCATAAATTTGGAGATTATTCTTCATGCTGTTATCCATCAAGAATTGCACTTTTCTATATTCATCAGTTTCCCTTTTCTCTTGCTGCTCCACTATTGTTAATGGCTAGTATCATGTCTTAAGTGTCACTGATGATGTGATTCTCCACTCGCTGAATTCTGCAGCTGTGGCTTGCTTGTCTCTGCTACTCGGAATCAGTTCTTCCTTCAGATGCTCTGGAGCGTGAGTCCCACTGCCATTGCAGTGTTGATTGATGCCCTCCTCTCTGAGGCTCAAGATTCTAGTTGAGCTTGAGGATTTTGCTGGACTCCTGTCTGCCACTGCAGGTGAATTCCTCTGCCTACGCACTGTCCTTAGACTTTTTTTTTCAGGTGCTGTCTGGGAATTGATCATTATTTCACACTGATATGTTAGTTGCTCATAAGGGTCACTATTTGTTACCTCCTTTTCGAACTGTTCCTGTGGACCTGAGATAACATTTCTGGTCAGAATGGAGGCAGGGACAGCTGGGACAATCAAGAGGAGTTGTGGGGTGTGGCGGCACTGGGGCGCTGGCTGCAGGGCGGGGGCAGCGGAATGTCTTCTCCCGTCATCTGTCCAAGGACTTGAGGCGATAAGAAATGGCCCTTATCCCTGATTTAGAAAACACTTGAAAGAGTGTCTATTTGTTAATGTTCGGCAACTAGTGTCGTGTGTGTCGCGCACCCCCCACCCCCACCAAACTGGTGTGCTGCACCATACCCGCTGTATGATCCCTCTGGCCCTAAAGAGAATTTGTGATACTCTGAACATTCAACTTTATTTGGAGAAAACACAAGCTCAGTGGTGTCTAGCAGACCCTTTGAAATCGCATCTCTGGGAGGGCTCTAGTTTGGCTCAGAGGCTCAAAGGCCTGCAGTGCTTGTCTGCTAACACACTGGAGAGTGGTATCACTTGTGGCGGGGCCAGTGGACTCATTGGTTCTTTTCTCTTAAGGTCGGTTACAGCAGAGTGGAACTATGTCCTGGGAGAACTGGCAGGCTGAGCTCCCTTCCGGGGTCGCCTTTCCTTCTTTCCCTTTATTCCTCAATTCTGTGGAAACAGGTGCCCATGGTTCCTCAAGCCCATGCCCTTGAGCCTCAAGTCTGTTTCTTTGCTAGCTTACTTCCTCTAGAAAAGCCTGAGTTCTCTCTCCAAGACATACTTTTTTTCTCTCCCCTCACATCTTTCTAATTAAGTTTCAATAAAAACTATCTTGCTTCACCAAAAAGAGAAATAAACTGGTATTTGAAAGTCTTGTAAGTCTTGTTTGTTATGCCAGCATAACATGTGCTTTTAGGTGGGTGTGACATGATCGGGGTGTGTGCGTGGGGGGGGGGGGGGGGGTTGGTTCAGAGAGAGGAACTGAAGGTGCCCAGACGATCAGAGCCAGCTCGTGGAGATGTCCACAACAACAGTATTGTGTGAGGCTGCTCGCCTTACTCAAGGCTGCCCTGGTTTTGATCCCCCAGCACCCCATATGGTCCCTGAGATGAGCCAGGAGTGATCCCTGAGTGCAGAGCCACAAGTATTACTCTGAGCCCAGGTTGCCTACCTTGAACATGAAAATGACACCTCTAGCACTGGAACTGTTCCTCTGGAAGCACACTATGTAACCAACAACTGCATGTGGTGTGAATGCTGACTTACACAAGAGTTCAGACACAAGTGTATGAAAAGTCTGTCAGACACAGATAATTTCAACTGCTTTCAGTAGAGATCCTTTAATTTATACATGGCCACTTTTAAGCCAACTCTCCCCTTACTATAAATTGTTTTTTATTGCTTTGTTTTTGCTTTTAACTCTCAACATTCCCTTCTAACATTAAATGCAGACCAGCCGCACAGTCCAGAAAGCATTTGTGTGCTGTGCTGATGCCCTTATCGGAGACGGGGCATTGCTCGGCCAGCAGCAGCAGAAACAGGGCGCTGGCTTGGAAAAGTCAACGGGCCATTGCCAAACACTGTCACTCACAGGTGATACCTGGTCTCGTTGGCAAGTTTCCAGTACCTCTCTCGCAGAAGGAACGCAGCACTTTTCGGTTCTCTCTGCCGAGTGAAGATTCCTTTCTTATTCCCCAACACTCTTGTTGTTGCTAAATAAAGCAAGTCAAGGATCAGGTGACTTCTGGTGGGCCAAATTGGAACCAACATGGAACCAAGTGCGACACTAATAAGCAGAGATGTCCTACACAGTTCAGGGAATGTGTTCTGAAGTAGCCACTCTATGGGGTTGAGTTATAAATACTACCAACTTCCCAAAATACACCAGCTCCAGTTCTTCATTTGGAAGGGAAAGTAATCCAAAAGCTGATGTACTTGGAAAGGCTTGAGGCTTTTCAAGAGCACTCCCCCTGCCTAGACGGGCTAGCAGAGTTCAGTGTGCAGGCCAACCCCAGCGTGGCTGGTCAGCCAGGTGAGGGCAGCTCCCAGCTTGGCTTCTCACTACTACCGAGGGAAAGCCCAGCCCCCAACGGGAAGGTTCAAGATTGTGATTTCTTCCACATCAGCAAAAGGCCAGGACTGACTAAGCTCTTCCTTCAGTGTCCCTATGCTACCCCACTTCGAGACTTAGGAAAAGAAACAATCGGGTGGCTCCCCCAAGATGAACTGCTAATTCTCGGATCCAGGGCATTTCTAGAAGCCATTCGTTTCATCTGCTGTAGGAGAGAGGCTCTTGTCCAATTTCTCTACGTCTTTGCATCCTAACTTTCACTGACAATTTAGCCTTTTTGTTGTAATTTCCGTAACATCAAATCCTTTCCTATCATCCCCAAGTTTATGGTATTTGGAGAAACTAGTATTCTGGAAGAAGTGGGAAATGTTCTTTTGGACACTAATTGAAGGAGCCTTCATTTAGTCACATTTGAGTGCCAAATATATTCTCTGAACACTTCACCTTTTGAAACTTACCTGTATTTGATTAATCTCTTTTTTACAAGTGAATAGAAAACTGAAGTGTCTTAAGTATTTCAGGATATGAATCTACTTGGGAACAGTAACAAGTAAATCCAATTTGGGGTCCAATTTTTCCTCATACTACTGTGAAGCAAGTAAGCCATACAGTTTGCCCTCAGGTAACACACTTCCAGCTGGTGTTTCTTCCCCCTGCCCCGCACTCCCCCCCAGTAAAATGACTTTGGAATTCCTATAAAATTCTCTAATGTAGGTAAAAAAGCTTCCCCCACCCCCACTGATTTTCAGATTATTAAAACCAAATGAACAACAGAAAGGCCAAACTGGAAGAATTAGAAACGCTATTACAAAATGCCACTTACACTGGTCAGTCATAAAATCGGCAAAATTCCAGATGAGCTCTCCAATCACATAGTCCTTACGTTTTTGATCCAGAACCAAATGATACTGCTCTAGCAGACTTTTCTGGTACTCTTCACTGAACATCAGAGGTGGATCCTAGAATTCAGGGCAAAGAGAATTGGGGCTAGAATTGAGTTTTAACAACAACACAAATTTTTTTTGGATAATATAAAGCTCAAGTTTTAAGTAACTGCCAGCAAGTAATTTGAAAATTGGTGTGACTCATCCCATATGTTCCCCTGAGCCCACCACGAGTGATTCCTGAGTACAGAGCCAGGAGTGGAGCTACACTGGATGTAGCCAAAAAACAAAAACAAACCAAAAACCCTGCTTTGGCTTCATTTCCAGTGTAAAGTACTAAAATGCTACAGTTATGTTTGTTCTTTTTCTAAAGTTGAACTGGAAGGCAGGACAACATGTAGATTTTCTACTTTGTTTTAAGGGAACTGATCCTGTATTTGTACGTTGTAGCAACACACAGCTAAACTAAATTCAAGTGTTTAGTCATACTGATGCCACTTCAAGTCTAGTTACTAGCCACATGTAACTTGTAACTACCATTGTGGCTATGCAGGTACATACTCTTACTGCACTCTGTTGATAATATATGATTTACATATCATTATATATATTATTTTACGAGTTAAAGATAGTAAAGATGAGAACTTGGTACAGATGGTTAACCCTTTATAGCAATAAAGTATTTTAAAATTAAGATATGTACTTTTAAAAATGTAATGCTATTGCACACTTAGCCATACTACAGTAAATACACAACTCTTTTTTTGGGGGGGTCACACCTGGAGATGCTCAGGGGTTACTCCTGGCTCTACACTCAGGAATTACTCCTGGCAGTGCTTGGGTGACCATATGGAATGCTGGGAATCGAACCCGGGTTGGCCACGTGCAAGGCAAACACCTTACCCTCTCTGCTAGCGCTCCAGCCCCCACAACTTTTATGTACACTGGGGAATCAAAAAGTTTGACTCACTTCATTAAGTATTCATTTGGGGGTCTGAAGAGCAGCCCCTAAAATGAATGAGTATAGTTGCAGCAGGTCAGGTGCTTGCCTTGGCCAGCCCGGGTTCAATCCTTGGCATCCCCTATGGTCCGCCAATCACTGCCAAAAGTGAGCACAGAGCCAGGAGGGACTTATAAGCATCGCTGGGTATGCTCCCCTACCCACCAAAAAGAAGTATTTTATTGTGCTAGAACCAAACTCAGAATAGCTCCAAGATGTGCCTGTACCAAACAAAGGGGACTAGTAAGACACTGCTGACATGGATTCTTTCAAAAGAGTGTAAGAATTCAGATTTCTCCTCCTTTTTCTCCTCCTGTGAAGCAAGACATTTTTATTGAAGCATACTGAGAAAAATGTGAGGGAGAGAAAAAGGAAGTACATGCTCAAGGAAGGACACAGGCTTGAGGAGCAAGGTTTAGATTTCTTAAAACTTGCTCTTCAGAACCATATTCTCTCTTGACTATGTACTTCCTTTCTTTCCCATCGATTCTAAGTAAGATTCATTCAATTAAAAACTAGATTGCTTTGGGGCTGGGGCAATAGTACATCGGGTAGGGTGTTTGCCTTGCATGCGGCCAACCCGGGTTCGATTGCCAGCATCCCATATGGTCCCCCAAGCACCACCAGGAGTAATTCCTGAGTGCATGAGCCAAGAGCAACCCTTGTGCAATGCTAGGTGTGACCCAAAAAGCAAAACAAAAACAAAACTAGATTGCTTTATTTAAAAAAAAAAAAATTCAGATCTCAGCATCACTGTCACTGTCCTCGCATTGTTCATCGTTTTGCTCGAGTGGGCCCAGTAACATTGTGAGACTTGTTGTTACTGTGTTTGGCATATCAAATATGCTACGGGTAGCTTGCTAGGCTTTGCCGTGTGGGCGAGATACTCTTGGTAGCTTGCTGGGCTCTCCAAGAGGGTGGAGGAATCAAACTCGGATTGGCCGTGTTGACCACATGCAAGGCAAACGCCTTACCCGCTGTGCTATCCAGCCCCCAGATCTCAGCATACCCACCTCCATATCTCAGAATCTCTGCTTGCTACTGCACCTTTAGTCTATACCTGAAGCATACTGCCACAAGACTGCTCTTCTTACCACCCTTCACACTGGGTGAATATATAGGCAGGGAAAGGAGAGAACCCAGCTTAACCCTCAGGCTTCCACGGGCACTAACTACAAAGATTCACCCTCAGCATAGCACACAGGATGTGTAGAAGCCACCAAGCTCAATGAGTAAAAAGGATACCATGGAAAGCTCTACCAGTACCAACCAGCTCTGTCAATGAGTCTCAAGAGACTCAGAGAATGATTTCAGTGACACCATGTTGAGGGTGAGCTCAACAGAAGGATGGTACAGGGTAGTCCACAATGCACAATAAATTATGAGTCAAAACTACAATCAGAAGTAGAAAAAATAAAAAAGTATAGTAGGTGATATTTAAAAGTAATACAAGGTCTGAGCAGTAGAGTAACAGCTGAGGAAAGTATTAGTGAGCTTAAAAGATGAGAGGCAAGAACTTCTAGAAAACAAAGACAATAAGAAAATGTCCTCAGAAATGGATAGCACACCAGAAAGATATGCGAGGGATAAGTTCAAGAGGAACAGTATGAGAAACCTCAGAGTTCCTGAGGAGTAAGAAGGCAAGTTTGATGAAGAGCCATTCGCTAAAAAAAAAAAAAAAAAAAAAAAAAATCAAGGTGGTGAGAAAGGAACTCTCATCTGCTGCTGGTGATAATGTTGTCTAGGTCAACCCTTGTGGAAAAACAGTACGGAGAATCCTCAGTAAACTTAAAATTGAGCTGCCCCAAGACCCAGCAATTCCACTTTTGGGTATCTACTCCCCATTCTTCATCACAACGCTCAGTAAAATAGTTAAGATACAGAATCGACATAGGTGTCCAACCACAGATAAGTACGTCATGCAGATGTGGCAATGGAACACTATGCAACTATAAGGGAACAATGAAACCGTGCAATTCACAGAAACATGAGTGGAACTGGAAGATAATATATTAAATAAAGCCAGAGGAAAGAGGACAAAGGGTGGTGATCAGGGTGGTAATCAGAATAACTGCATGAGGGAATACAGTGTTTTTACAAAGACGGAGGAGGGGGGGACTAGATCAACCTGGAGTACAGGGAGAAAGAGAAGGAAAGAAATCGAGGGTCTGGGGGGGAAAAGACAGATGGAAAGCAATGTGGCGGGGAGGGGGGGACGTCGGGGTCAAGGGAATGTACCATGGCAGTGTAAAGGAATGGTACAGCTAAATATTCAAACCACAGAGTCAACTACACTGAAAATAATCACACTGTGAAAGGTGCCTGTTGAGATGCAGGGGTGGCGTGGGGGGGGGGGGGGGGGCAGGGGGTGGGGAGGGAACCTGGGAACACCTGGTGGAGAGAAACTGGAGAGCCATGGGGTCAATGTTAGAACACTGTCTGAAACTCAACTATGAATAATCATGGTGCTTTAATACACGATTTAAAAAATCACATATAAGAACTTCCCATAGTTGGAGCTGGAGAAACAGTGTAGCAGGTAAGAAGCTTGCTTTGCATGCGGGCAGTTCCGGGTACCCCATATGATCCTGGAAGCCTTGCCAGCACAGAACCTGGAATAATCCCATGAGCACCACCGCGCATGACCAGAAAACAAAACAACAACAAAAGAATTTCCCAGAGTTGAAGAGCAAGCACCAAGATCCAAGAGGCCCAGCAAAAATAAACGCAAACTGAAAAACTCCCAAGATACATTTTAAATCAGAATGAGAAAAGACAGAGACAGGGTATTAAATGCAGCAAGACTAAAAAAAGGAACATATACGAAGAAAAGCTGATAAAATTAATAGCAAATACATCAAATGAGACTACAGCCAAAAGAAGAGTAAGAAAATAAACTCAATGAAATGAACTCCTCACCAAGAATACTCTATCCGGCTAGATTATCATTCTGATTTGAATGAAAGATGCAGAACTTCAGAGCAGGAGTGATGCTACAGCAGGTAGGGTGTTTGCTTTGAACGCAGGCCAACTCGCGTTCAATCCCCGGCATCCCATATGGTCCCCCGAGCATCGCCAGGTGTGACCCAAAAAAAAAAAAAAAAAAAAAGATGCAGAGCTTCACGGACAGGCAACAGCTTAGGGAATTCATAGCCTTGAAACCAGTTTTCCAAGAAGCATTAAGGAAGCTTCTTTCAAAGATAAGACAAACTTCTCATCTTTTTGCCACTAAGTATGGCATTAATTTATGGTACTTGTGGCTGTCTTCTACCAGATAAGACAGGTCTGTTTATTCCAAGCTTGCTAAGAGTCTTATACTTTTTCAGGAATCAAATGTTTCATTTATATTGATGCTGCTATGTCTATTCAGGTGATTTTTTTGCATCTACGAAATTTTTACCACAATCTTTTCACATACTTAATGCAGATACTTAAGCATTTTCTGTAATATTTTCTGGCATAAGCCAGTATTTCCTTTTTAGAATAAAACACAGTTATGGGCTGGAGCAACAGCACAGCGGGCAGGGCATCTGCATTGCATGCGCCGACCTGGGTTCAATTCCCAGCATCCGACATGGTCCCCCAAGCACCACCAGGAGTAATTCCTGAGTACAGAGCCAGGAATAACCTCCGTGCATTGCCAGGTGTGACCCAAAAAAGAAAAAAAGAAAGAAAACATAGTTATACTTTATAGGCCTATACATATTTTCCCTTAAAAATTTAATTCTAAAGTGTGTGTGGGGCGGAGGGCAGGTAAGATAGAAAAGAGACCAGTAAGACAATAACAGGGAATGATCACACTGAACAAGATCTGAGGGTTTAAAGGGATATTCTTGATAACCTTTCAGTATCAATATTGCAAACTACAATATCCAAAAGGAAGGAGGGAGGGAGAGAGGGAGGGAGAAAGGGGGAGGGGGGAGAGAGAGAGAGAGAGAGAGAGAGAGAGAAGAGAGAGAGAAGTGCCTGCCATAGAGGAGGTGGGGAGTGGGGGGTGATGGGAGGGAACCTGGGGACATTGGTGCTGGGAAATGTACTCTGGTGGAGGGATGGGTGTTGGAACACTGTATAACTGAAATTCAATCATGAACAGCTTTGTAACAGTCTATCTCACCGTGATTCAATAAAAAAGTAAAAACAATTTTTGAATTCTACTCTGATTCTTTTTTTTTTTTTTTTTTTATTGAATCACTGTGGGAAAGGTTACAAAGCTTTCAGGTTTATGTCTCAGTCATGCAAATATCAAACACATTTCCCTTTACCAATACTTATTTTTTCCCATGAAGAACCCCAATAAAACCCCACCCCCCACCCCTCCCCGTCCCTGTGAGGCAGATGAATTCTAGTTAACACTCTATCCGCTTTGATTAGATTGTTTCAATAAAAGATTCACCACTATTATTTAGAGTTTCCCCCCCCCAAATCAGACATGCTGAAAAAGCATTGTGAAGTGATTTGCTTTCTACAGCTGGGTTCAAGAATTAAATGTTGGTTTTGGATTTCTGCTATTTTACCTATTGACCCTGGAAGTATTTCTACTGAAAGTCAGATAGTTAAGAAATTGGTTTCTGTGTTCTGGAGTCGTGGCCGTGCTGGAGAGCCGCTCGTGGGGGGCAACTGGTGGCCTCGGTAGGGCGTGAAGGGTCTACTCTGATTCTTACTGATTCATATATTTAAAATATGTTAGCATGTAATTCATATTATTTTTGGGGGGGAAAGGCCACACTGGAGGTGCTCAGGGCTTACTCCTGGATCTGCACTCAGGAGCTCAGGGGACCAGATGTGGTACTGGGGTTGACCGAGTCACCCGCATGCAAGGGACGCTCTGGTTCCCTATGATTAATTTTTTTAACTTATACATGTAAAAAAGAAAAAGATACAGGTTTTGAAAAAAATTACATTTACAATTTTGTGGAGTTTCAGGAAGTTTAGTTGTGAAGCTCTGGAAGTGTATAGGTATTAACACTTCCACAATGTAAAAATAAAGTCTCATATGGGGAAATAAAGAAACAGGAAGGGAACAGCAAGTGGCCACTTGTGAGGTTCGGAGATTCAGTCTACAGAACTGAGCTTGTGTGGAGGGGGTAAGGCGGGAGGGCCGTGGGCACTGACTGAAGGTAGGGAGGGGGCTCTCTGGTGAGAGGCGTGATGCCGGAATGATGTGTGCATGAAAAGTTACTTAACAATAGTGTACATATCGGTACATCAATAAGAATGGTAAGGAAAGAAAAAAAGATAATGGTTACCTTTACAGAGGGGAAGAATCTATTTAAATACTGTCTTCATGAGCTATTTCCCCTGATTCCACCAGCCTGTGAAAGTGTCATTTTGAGTAAGAAAGGTGGAGTTAATGGTGTCAACAGTAATCTAGGGTCGAAAGATAAACAGAGGTTTAAGGGGCATGCTTTGCATGCAGATGGCCCCAGTTCATTGCCTGGCACCAAACAGTATCCCATATTGTGCGGTGCAGCCCTCGTAGGCCCAAGCCTACCAGAGTGCCCCAAGGAATGTCCAGCTCTGGAGGGCCCAGGCAGTATTGCATTGTCAGGCCTTGAAATGATCCACTGGGGCTGGAACGATAGCACAGTGGGTAGGGCGTTTACCTTGCACATGGCCAACCCGGGTTGGATTCCCAGCATCCCATATGGTCCCCCGAGCACCGCCAGGGGTAATTCCTGAGTGCAGAGCCAGGAGTAACCCCTTTGCAACGCCGGGTGTGACCCAAAGAGCAAAAAAAACAAAAACCCAAAAAGCAAAAAGTAAATAAAGAAAAGAAAAGAAAAAGAAAATGACCCACTGGCACAGTTCACCCAAAAAAATGTACAAAGGGGGCCAGAACAACAGTACAGCGAATAGGCTGTTTGCCTTACACACGGCCAACCCTGGTTTGATCCCAAGCATCCCATATGGCCCCCTGAATCTACCAGAAGTAGGCCCTGAGCACTGTCAGGGGTTCCCCCCCACCCAAAAAAAAAAACGAAAAATGTATAAAGGGGCCCTCATAGGCCTCTTGAGTAAGTATCTCCTGTGTGGCCACCAAAGAGAGAATTTTAAAACTCAAGCAGAGTAATATAGTTCATTGTGGGAAGCTGTTAAACACACAGGGAGTAGCAGACTAATAGACTGTGTCAGTGGGGAACTGCAGTATTCTAACAGCCAAGGACCACATGGCTGGATGGACGTGGGGGGGCGAGTTGTGATTAAAACCCCCACAAAAGGATCAGGAGACAGCTCCGTGTGGACGCGAGAGTTTGCCCCCCCAGTGTCTCAGGCACGCAGTATGACACTTGGTTTCTGATGCCCGGCGCCAGAGCCAACTCTCACCTCAGCACTGCCAGGTGTGTGGAAGCACAACTAAAGCAAGCGACCTCAGTGAGCACCACACCAAGAGTAGGTGCAGGGCCCTGGTCACTGCATAGCCACTGACATAAGGCGAGAGGCAGGGAATGAAACAGGGAGCCAGGGGGCTGGAGCTATTGATAGCACAGCGGGTAGGGTGTTTGCCTTGTATGAGGCTGACCCAGGTTCAATACCCAGCATCCCATATGGTCCCCCGAGCACCGCCAGGAATAATTCCTGCCTGAAAAGCCAGGAGTAACCCCTGTACATCGCTGGGTATGACCCAAAAAGCAAAAAAAAAAAAAAAGAGGGGGGGGGAGTCAGGGGAATTAAGAAAATCCACAAGAAAATGCCCACAAAACAGCGTATGAGGGGAAAAGGGCCTATGTAATAGTAATGACAGCCCACTCCAAGATACCACACAACCTCTTGGCTACTGGTTAGCAACTGCCTGTGTGGTGACCCTCCAGAACAAGGGGGGAAGGGGGGACACACAGCAGTCAGCAGAACTCAGCCTTCCTAGCCCAGATAGAGAAGGGAGCACCAAATAAAGGGTGTTGGGAGGATCCTCCCAGGATGGAAGATGCATGCTGAAAGTAGACTATAGACCAAACATGATTGCCACTCAATGCCTCTTTTGCAAACCACTGCACCCAAAAGGAGAGAGAATAAACGGGAATGCTCTACCGCAGAGGGCGCAGTGGGATGGGGGGTTGGGAGGGACGCTGGTCATTGGTGGTGGAGAATGGGCACTGGTGGAGGGACGGGTACTCGAGCATGGTTTACTGAAACCCAAGCACAAAAATTTGTAAGTCTACAACTGTTACCTCGTGGTGTTTCTCTAAGAAAAATTAAAAAAAAAAAAAAAAAGGAACTCAGCCTTCCTCCTGGAGCCGAGTCAGTCAGAAGCGCCAAAGGGTGAGTGTCCCATGAGCAAAGCTGAGATGGAGATGAGTCACTGTCACTGGTCACTGTGTTCCCATTGTTCATCGATTTGCTCAAGTGGGCCCAGTAACATCCCCATTGGAGACTTTGTTGTTACTGTGTTTGGCATATAGAATATGTCACGGGTAGCTTGCCAGGCTCTGCCGTGCGGGCTAGATACTCTCGGTAGCTTGCCAGGCTCTCTGAGAGGGGCGGAGGAATCGAATTTGGGTCGGCCATGTTGGCTGCGTGCAAGGCAAACGCCCTACCGCTGTGCTATCACTCCAGCCCATGGAGATGAGTAGAGGGAGTTAATTGAGGGCACATCCACCAGCTGGTGACTGTGGGGCTCCAGGGGAATGAGTCAGTGACCACAGTGAAGAGGCCAGTGTAAGGAAAGGAAGATGCAGGGGGGGAGGGCAGACAGCACAGGAGGTGACAGTCGCAGCAGCCAGGGTGGCCAGTGCCATGCAGAGTGTGGATTTCAGGGCGGCTGCTCTAAGGACCACATCAATGAGGCGGAAGCCAGAGTGAACTGTGGGCAGTTAGACACGGGGGACACTCATCAGAACAAGTGAGGGATGGGGGAACAGGGGCATGTCTGGGGTCAATGAGTGACATCACTAAGAAGCAAATGAAGTTCCACAGCACAGGGCCAGAGCCATAGTACAGCGGGGAGGGCGTTTTGCCTTACACGCAGCCAACCTGGGTTCAATCTCCGGCACCCCATATGGTCCCCCCAACTGAGTACTGCCAGGAATAATTCCTGAATTCAGAGCCAGGAATAATAACCCCTGAGCACTGCCAGGTGTGACCCAAAAAGCAAAAAAAAAAAAAAAAGAAGAAAAAAAAAAGAAACCAAAAACCAACGTTCCACAGCACTTACTTGGTGAAGCCCTGCAATGCTTTCTGCTCCATACTCGCTCTGAATAATTGGTTTCTGATAGGTCTTATACCAGTTCTCAAATTCGGATGCCAGCTGCAGCTGTATCACTTCCAAGTGCCCGAAGTCGTGATACCAGGAGTAGTAACTATTCACACATATAACGTCCACAAACGGGGCCTAGGACAAAGATGATAAAACTTGTTCACCAAAACATGTCATCAGTTTCTTCTGGCATGAAACTGAGAGGGATGCAAACATGATTTAGATGCTCACATGTGTAGGGAACTGTCAAGAAGTGACTTGAGGGGCTGGAACGATAGCACAGCGGGTAGAGCATTTGCCTTGCACACAGCCCACGGGGGTTCGATTCCAAGCATCCCATAGGGTCCCCTGAGCACTGCCAGCACTTCCAGGAGTAAAAGCCCAGAGAAAGAGTAACCTCAGTGGAAACCCAGGGAGCATCCCAACTGCGCTGTGGACCTCTTCGGGAGCACTCCTGTCACCGGTCTTCCCTTACGTAGCCCTGGGGAGCTGTTCTCAGCTGAGGAATAGTTTTTCTCCTTCGGAAGGAAGAGGTGACACTGTAGGTCATAAAGTGTTACCAAAAGCCGCTCCTCAGAGGGTAGCTGGGATGTGGCTTGAGACCACCTAGAGTCTAAACAAGTAGTTTGCCACCACTTTGCACCTGCAGACCAGCACCCTTCAGGACTGGGCTTAAACACTGGCTTAAACAAGGTGAGCTCAGATCTGAGCAGCAAAGGCTCGTTCAGCTTTCTGTCAGGGCACCAGAATAAATGCCACCTCCAAAACCTGGCAGGGACCATCTTTCCCGAGTGAGCACAGGCCCATGGCAACAGAAAGATGCTGGCAGAAGTGGAAGACACACCATTCTCATCCCACCAGGTCTACCTGAAACCTCAAAGCCCAGGCAGAGCTCTGGGTCCACCTGAGGGCAGAACAGAGAGGAAGCCCTCAGGCTTGGGCGTGACTTCACTTTCACTCACACTGCTGTTTTACCAGTCTTTGCATTTTGAACTGGAGGGACAGCACAGCAGGTAGGGTGTTTGCCTTGCACGCGGCTGACCCGGATCTGATTCCTCCGGTCCTCTCGGAGAGCCCGGCAAGCTACAGAGAGTATCCCACCCGCACAGCAGAGCCTGGCAAGCTCTCTGTGGCATATTTGATATGCCAAGAACAGTAACAACAAGTCTCACAATGGAGACATTACTGGTGCCTGCTAGAGCAAACTGATGAACAACAGGAGGACAGTGCTACAGTGCATTTTGAAAAAGCTGCTGTTCTTCAGAGATGGCATGGGAACACCCTGTTAAAATGACGGTGTTTACAATTCCTGTTGGCATCGTATCTTCTCACCCATTCTTTAGATGGTCTCCCCTTCTGTGGCATTTCTTCTCGAGTTTTGACCGACCCTCTGTTCTCTAGCAAAGGTGCATTTCTCTTGCTGCTGTGATTTACAACTTGATTCCCAAGGCTGGTTGGTGATAAAATCTCTGAGCTCTCACAAACTCAGATTCCCATTGTAGATCTACTAAGTCGGTTTCAGGATCCAGAGACCGACACTTTCCGAAAGCTTTCCTCAGTGGTTCTGGGGGTCAGTTAGGTTTGAGACTGGGTAACGAGGACAGTGAACCCCCTCAAAGCCTCTGCTGTCTCATAAGCATATTAAAGCAGAAGTACTGAACATCAAATCACAGTTCATAAAAAGTGGAGTTTGAACAAACAACGAAAGCAGTCTTTTTTGTTCATTCTTCCTGAATTCACCAAGTCCCAGTGCCTGGTGACTAAGAAAATCTTACACCTGGGTGCCACCCACCCTCGTGGGAGGTCTGGCTGGTCTGGGAGCATGTCAAGTAGTCTGAGATTGCTCTAGAACCAGAGGACAGGCAGAGAAGGGTGGAGACCCCGAGGCTCACCCCCAAGTCTTCTCCATAATGGCTGTTGGTCACAAAGGTCACGGGCCGGGAAGGGTCCAAGGCTTTGGTGTGGGCGATCAGCGTCCTGTCCGCAGAGGGCAGAAGACACGAGCACTGTCAGACTCACCCTCCCACCCCCCCTGTCAAAACAAACTATTCTCTTCCCGACCTCAGAGGTGTTCTAGTAGAGTTATGTTCCTCCAGCCTCAGCTCGCTCTCCCCAAAACTGTTCCCCTCTCTCTATCCAAATTCTACATCCCAGAGAAGTCTTCACAGCCCCAAACTGGGCTCTTAATCTCTAAACAAAAACTCTTTTTTGAAAATGAGAACATAGGAAGGTGGGTAGGAGTCATCATTTATTTTTCTTCCGTTAGGAGCAGGTGTTCACCTAACAGTGCTTAGGTTCTATTCCTGACTCTGTGCTCAGGAATGACCACTGGCAGTGGTCAGGATCAACTAGGACTGCGAATATTGCTGCTTGCAAGGTACTCCCTAACCTCCTATACTGTGGGATATTAACACATAGTTAGGGAGTGTGTGCCAGGCTGTGTGCTGGGCTCTCTGGTGCTGGAGCAGCTCTGTTCATGCTTCCCAGTTGCTCAGGAGAAGAGGGCTTGCAGGGAAGTGTTAGAGATGCAGATGGACGTGGTGGGAGCATTATGAAGGGGGAAGCATGGGGCTCTAGGGGAATAACAGCCAGGATTAGAGTCAGAGATAGCTTCTCTGCAGAAACAGCGTTAATGCTGAACCCCTCAAGTAAGCAAGTCCCGTTCCCAAGCAGCCGCCTCAGTTTGGTTTTTTTTTTTTTTTTTTGCTGTTTGGGTCACACCTAGCGATGGAGGCACAGGGGTTACTCCTGGATCATGCACTCAGAAATCACTCAATTACTCCTGGCGGTGCTCGGGGGACCCTATGGGATGCTGGGAATCGAACCCGGGTCAGCCATGTGCAAGGCAAACACCCTACCCGCTGTGCTATTGCTCCAGCCCCCCATCCCCTCATTTTTGATTCATCATAGTTCACCTTTCTGTTATGCAGTCTCCCTGTGAGCGCTGCTCATTCAAAGGCTCTGAGCCCTCATGGCAGAACCGAGTTCCTTACCCTCCAATTCCAGACTTCCTCTCTGCAACGGCCCCCATCAGCCGGGAACCCAGTCTGAGCACCACTACACATCAGCTCAGCCCACCCCTCTCCATCCATCCTGCTGCTCCAAAATCTGCCTCATCCACTCTCCTAGCCAAAAACCCATCTGAGTACCAGGATCCCACTCCTGGCAGCCTTTATTCCTCTCAGCCTCACAGCGGAAACTCTATGCCCCAGCCAAACTCCAGCCAGCAAGAGCCCCAGACACTGGGGTCTGTGTGGAGTTATCCACTGTCCAGGCTGGTCCTCACTTCAGAACCTTCCCTCCTTGGTCAGCTCCAAACACTCCATAACTTAGGGGAAGTGACCTCTGCAGTAAGTAAACAATCCAATCCCCTCTGTAAGAGAAGGAACCAAGAAACACCCCCGGGTCTGGTCTGCCTCAGAGAAGGGGAACCTCCCGTTTCTGGAAGGCAATCTTCTAAGGAGTGTGGCTGTCTCCTGGAATGCCGAGTGGAAGAGAGAGAAGGTGTCTGCACTGATGTGATGACTTCAGATGGCCTGGTTTGCCCAACAAGGTAACTCGGGGACAGTTAGGACATGCCGGCCATCAAAAATCCTGTCTATATCATTCCAAGTCAAGGTGGCATAACTTCACTGTACAGATCAAGTTAAACATCACAAAGCACTTTTTCCCCCTACAGTGTTACATGCAGGACATATTCCAGGAGGGGGGACATATTTAGTTGGGTTTGAAACGTTACTTAGAAGTTCACCATTTCGAAAAAAAAAAAAAAGGAAAAAGAAAAAAGGGGCTGGAGTGATAGCACAGCGGGTAGGGTGTTTGCCTTGCATGCGGCCGACCCGGGTTCGACTCCCAGCATCCCATATGGTCCCCTGAGCACCGCCAGGGGTAGTTCCTGAGTGAAGAACCAGGAGTAACACCTGTGCATCACTGGGTGTGACCCAGAAAAGGGAAAAAAAGTTCATCATTTCGGACAGAATTAAATGCTGGCAGCCAGTCATGCAGTCCCTCCTCCCTCTGCGTCCTAGCTGTGCTTCCTGCCTTCACACCTGTGTGGACTTTGTCAGTGACTCCCCTGAATCGCTGAAGTCACACATACAAAAATGGTTGCCTCTGGATTTCATTTCCAGAGTGAAAGGAAATACTGGTGCTCAGCATTACTGTGGAGTAACACTGAGCTGTGAGTTCGAGAGTTGGTCCCCTCAACCTCAATGACCAGGTGTGGGTCATCCTCAAGCCCGGGCCAGCAGAGGGGCTGATGCTCAGAGCAACCCTTGCCCCGCCAACGTTGGCTCTCCCACGGCTGCCAGCACCGGGACAGACTCCTCACCCCCAAGCTGACCCAGCCCAGGGGCGTGGGGGCACTGACTTGAAGTAGTGGCCAGCAGGCGGCAGGTAGGAGGCAGGCTCGTTAGCCACGGACCACATCACCACTGCCGGGTGGTTCTTGTCCCGGCGGACCAGCTCATCCATCACCTCCAGGTGGTGCTGTAGAGACTCATTGCTGAAACTCTCCCTGCAGGACGAGGAGGGGGAAAAAAGGAGCCGGTCAGGGTCGACCGGAAGAACAGCTGAAGCACGCGGGCAGCGGGCACTCACTTCAGCACGATGCCCACGCCGGGACTCTCGTCGATGACCACGATCCCGTAGCGGTCACAGAGCTGCAGCACCTCCTCTGCGTAGGGGTAGTGGCTGGTGCGGAAGGCATTGGCCCCGAGCCAGCGGAGCAGGTTGAAGTCCTTCACCAGCAGGGGCCAGTCGAAGCCCTTCCCGCGGACCTAGGGTGGCAGAGCAGAGCACGGCAGCCCCCTTCTCTGGTGTGCTGCCTGGGAGACACATCCCGGAGCGTCTGCGCGGTGAGCCGAGGAGGTTCCAGAGAGTCGGCTCGGAGCGGCCACCGGGACCCAGGCGCCCCAACTTACATCTGCGTCCTCGTGCTTGTTGACCCCGTGGAAGTAGAAAGGCGTCCGGTTGATGAGGAACTGGCTGGCTGTGACTCCCACGGTTCGAATCCCCACGGGGAGGGTATAGAAGTCAGACACGGGCCCATCGGCCGTCTCTGCGCTCAGCCTCACCTGCAAGCACCAAGCACGGACAGGCTAGCTGGCCAGCTGCCCCCACCACCGTTTGCGGCAGCCCACCCACTGCAAGCTGTGACGCAGCCTCGACAGGTCCCGCTCTCTGCCAGGAAAGCCTTCCTCCTACTCCTGCCAAGGGCCACGGGCTTCAAAACTGGCCTGCCTCGGTTCTTCCGCAGAGGGTTCGAGGAATCAGGCGGCCTTCCACCCCTCCACTCATGAGTGAACTCAAAGAACTGTGGCAGTCTGTCCCCGTCCCCGCAACCCTGCTGGATGGAGACAGGAGCTCCTGGCGCCCAGCCAGACGCCCCTCACCTCCAAGGAGTACAGGTAGGCGGGGTGCTCGTGCATCAGGTACGGCCACCAGAGGTGGGCAGCGGGCACCCGCAGCTGTCCCTGGCCTCCCTCGCCCTGCGCCACGACTCTGCCGTCCTCATCCAGAAGAAGCACTTCCAGCTGGTAGCGATCACTGCCCTGGACAAAAATCTGGTAGTTCACCAGCCCTGCGGAAGACAAGAGACACTGGGTGAGAAGAACGGAGGGGGCCAGCCCAGACCCGGCCATACTGGTGGCAGCAGTTACCCAGCAAGCAGCTCCTCAGCAGCATCAAGGGGAGATGCAGTGACCACCCAGAGCAGAAGGGCCACGGGCGAGCTGCACGACCCTCAGCAGGCCCCACTTCTCATGCTCTTCTCATTAAATCAGTCACACCAGGGGCTGGAGCAATAGCACAGCAGGTAGGGCATTTGCCCAGCACGTGGCCGACACAGGTTCGATTCCCAGCATCCCATATGGTCCCCCCTGGTACCACCAGGAGTAATTCATAAGTGCAGAGCCACTAGTAACCCCTGAGCATTGCCGGATGTGACCAAAAAAGGGGGGAAAAAAATCAGTCACACCAGATGAGACCTCCTACAGCACTTTAGGAGTTCATGTGATATATGGGGCAGGGGGAACAGGCAAGGCTCAAGCCTGTTCTGAAAGGGTTTACCCAGCCTTTGGCGCTTCCCTTAGCTGAACAGAGCCTGAGGTGGGGAGGAGAGGCTGGGAGAGCATCTCCCTGGGCTGGGGGTCCGGCTGTGCAGCGGCTCTCACCAGTGTCTTGTTCCACGTCAGTGGTGACGGTGATATCATCGATGTAGGCGGCAGGTGTGGTGTAGAGGAGGACTGGCCGGTGCAGTCCCGCGTAGTTGAAAAAGTCAAAGTTTGTCTTCTGGACAAAGTAACCCTTCGGGTACCTACGGCGTGAGGTCAGTGACCAACTGGGACCACGAGCTGGGTCCTTCGCCCCGTGACCCCCTGCCAAGGCCCTGCCCCCAGAGGGAAGGCTGTGGGGGCGAGGGGGCTGGAAGGGAGGGGACAGGGAGCCGCTCACTTGGAGGTGTCCCCCTGGAAGAGGATGGTCCCGGGCGGCAGGGTGTGGGGAGTGAGCGTGTTGTTGATGGCGATGGTGATCCGGCAGAAGGACAGCGGCCCACTCTGGACCAACTTGCTGATGTCTGCCTCGAAGGGGAGATGGCCACCCTCGTGCTCTGCCACATGGACCCCATTCACCCACTAAAGACACAGCGATTTGGAGTTCTAAGTATGTAGAAGTGGAAGGCCCCCTGTCAGCCCCCCTCCCCAGCCTGAAGGGGAAATGGGCTCCCGTGGACCAGGGTCTGCCAGGGCACAGACCCCAGTGTGCAGCAAGTGTCCCTCTCCCCTCCCCTCCCCGCCTCCAAGGGGCCCCCTGCATGCTCTGCAGCTACTCCTGCCCACTTGACCTGCCCACGCCCACTGCACTGACCACAATGGCGTAGTAGTGGGCACTGCCAATCCTCAGCACCACTCTCGTGCCCAGGTCCTGGGTCCACCGCTGGGGCAGGATCACCTCCCGCTCATACCACACCCAGCCAACAAAGCCTCGCAGCCGAATGTCCTGGCCCACGTCGTTGAAGCTGGACGGTACCGGCATGTCCAAGGTGGGGCCAGACTGGGGGGTGGGGGGACAAAGAGGTCAGGTCGAGACCATGCAGGAATCTCAGACCGGTTCCAGCTCCTAGCCAACAGGAAGAAGTTGGGACCACATGACTTCCCCAAGACCCTGGAATCCCAGGTCACCCCACCTTCGTCCTTGCCAACAATTGACCGGTGCCTTTAAAAGAGCTCATTCACTTCTCACAGCCCCACTCAGGAGCCACCAGACACCCAACCAATCAACAGGACACCCAGGAAGCTGCGGGCAGCACTTTGGGGACCAGGCAGAGCGCGCGCGCGGCTTCCCCGGAGCTGCCCGAAGCCCGGGGTCAGTGACCCTGGCGGAGCGCGGGTTTCCCCAAGGAGCAGCCCAGACGCCGGCGGGCCTTAAAAGCACCCTCGGGCTGGAGAGGGCTGCGTGCCTGGGTGCTCAAAGGGCTTGCGGGAGCGGCAAGTCCTTCCTCGGGGTGGCGGGGGGTGTGCCCGGGGCGGACGCGCTCGGACCCCGGCTGGCCCAAAGCTGGCAGAAGCGCGGGAGCAAAGGGGAAGTCGCTCCCGCCTCGGCCCTGGGGGACGACTGGGTGTGGCCCGGACCCCCGCCCCCGCCGCCCCCCACTCCCTTCCCGCTCCCCTCTCCCGCCCGGTGCCAAGACCGCTGAAAAAAGAGGATGTGACAGTGGGGGAGCCGGATGGGGGGGGCCAGCCCCACGCCCAGCGCCCGAAGGGGAGGGGAGGGCGGCGGCCGGCCCGCCCCGTCCCGGGCCCAGCCCCGAGCTCCGTCCCGCCGCGAGCCCCGCACCTTCCGCAGCGGCTCCCGGTACCACTGCTGCTCCAAGCCCCGGCGCCGGCAGGCCGACGTGTCGGCGCGGAAGCTCCAGAGGCCCGACAGCTCCTTGCGCTCCCGCGACGGGCTCTCCCGCGGGTACAGCATGCCGCCGCGCAGCGCCAGCCCGCAGCCCCACCACAGCGCCGCCAGCAGCGCGCACCGCGCCGGGCCCCGCATGCTCCCGCCGCCGCCGCCAGCAGCCCGCCGCTCCCGCCGCTGCCCGGCCGTCACGTGGGCTGAGCGCTGCGGCGCATGCGCACCCCGGGGCGCCTCCACCCCCCCCGCCCGGTTCCCCGCCCCCCCAGTAGGGTTCCCCCCCAACCCCCGCCCCCGGGCCTCCCCCCCTCCCGGCTCCCCACCCCCCAGCCTCCCCCACCCACCCCCTACCCGGCTCCCCGCCCCCAGGCCTCCCCCCAGCGCCCGACTCCCCACCCCCCCAAGCCTCCCCCACCCACCCCCTACCCGGCTCCCCGCCCCCCAGTCTTCCCCCACCCTCCCACCCGGCTCCCCGCCCGGCTCCCCGCCTCCCGGGCCTCCCCCAACCCCGGGACGCTGCGCGCTCACTGCCCCACCCGCGCCGTCCCGCCCCGCCCCTACCGGGAGTCCCGCTAGAAGCCCCGGGGCTGTGCTGCCCCAAGGGTGGGCCGCCCACAGCCCTCACCCTGGGCCTGGCTGGAGACTTTCCTTTCGCAACTCAAAGCCGAAAGGAAACCGACCATTGAGTGCACCGCCTGAGGGCGGTAGGCGGAGGAGAGAATGTTCCGGGCAGGTTAGGGGCAGCAGGCGCCGTCCAGCCACACCCCATGGACTTGGCTTGCAGTCCTGCAACGGTTTTGCAGACACAGTTTACACCTGCGTGGGCTTCCCACCTCCAGACGAAGTGAAAGGTTCTCTTGGGATGTGCCGGGGTGCAGCATGTTTTCTGTAGTAAAGAACCTGGGATTGGGACTCAGGCTGGACTCCTGGTCATCCCTGGCAAGTGAAGCCATAACGAAAGTTATTATGGAGAATACTCTCCACAATAGTAAATATATTCTCCATAATTTTCCTGCATACATTGATTCATGCATTACACCCCCCTTTTTAGTTTTAATTTTATTTGGTGAAGCAAAGTTTTTATTAAAACTTATTTAGAAAGATGTGAGGGGAGAGAAAGGTGTAAAAAGTACATCTTCAAGAGCTAACGCAGCAGACTGGAGCGACAGTATAGTGGGGAGGGGACTTGCCTTGCATGTCAGCCAAATATCCCTGGCATCCCATGTCGTTTGAGTTTAACCTTTCCTTTGTGTTTTACCTCTCATCGTCACAGTTCCCCAAGTCAGTCTTGGTTACTTATAAGCCAAAAAATTTCTGGTAACTCTGGACTTTGTATTTTTAGTGAATTACCTGCTTTTCTATCTCCCTATAGCTTTTCATATTTCATTACAGAGCAATGTTCTTTGCTTAAATACAGAAAGGCCATTAATGCTATGCCCCTAATATTTGGGAGTTGATTAACTGAAATATATATCTACTCCTGGGCATCTGTCATAATTACTTGACTCAGGCTTTGATTGCTATAGTTCCTAACACCCCACAAAGGAAAGTCCTGCTGTGGGATTGAGATGGACCAGGGCAAGGGGCAAAACTTCCCCTGACATCAAAATGGGACTGTCTAGAAAGCCTAAGAGCACAGTCTTGATGCAAGCTGTCATGACTTAAGAGACAGGACCCCATAGGGAAGGACAAGCTGAACCAGCCTGAGGACCTAATCTGGAATGTTTGGTAGAAACCCAGCAGCCTTGCCTTCGAAGTCCAGAGAACTAAGTTTTGGAAATCTATATCTCTTACTGTGTTTATCCAAATAACTGCAAGTACTAATAAGAAGTAAACTTAATTGTTTAGTATGTACAACTAAAGGAAAAGAGAAAAATCAATATAGATCAATATAGATGTCCCTGGGAGAACAAATGTCTCCTTGAGTATATCTCCCCAAGAGATTGCCTCCTCCAAAATGTTTTACTTCTGGGGACTGGATCGATAGCACAGCAGGTAAGGCGTTTGCCTTGCACACGGCCGACCCGGGTTTGATTCCCAGCGTTCCATATGGTCCCTGAGCACCACCAGGAGTAATTCCTGAGTGCAGAGCCAGGAGTAATCCCTGAGAATCGCTGGGAGTGACCCAAACAGAAAAAAAAAAATTTTTTTTTCTTCTGTAAATGATTAATCACACCTACGTGTAGTCCTTTACCTCAAACTCCTTTGGATTTTCTTTAAGTATGCTAACAGCTCTGCATTAATTGGGCCATTTTTACCATCTATCCATGACCCTCTTTGTTCCATGCTGGGGAGGACTGAGAGGCAGCTCTCGGCCACCAAACTCATGCATCCTGCCCCCACACTTTGTGAACGCACACAGTGGTTTTCCCCAGATGATTATGAAAAGAAAAAAGAAAGCAGGGTGCAAAAGCATATGCTATCTGATTGCAACATTATTGAAATTATGTCCCAGGTAAAGGCACAGGTGTGAAGGGTTATTATTGAGGAAGGTCAGTGTTTCTCAGATGGATCCATATGCCCCCCACCCCCATATACCTCCAAGACATTCCAAGGGGCCACAGGTAAAAATCGTAACTTTGGAGGCCACTTCCGAAGACTAGGGACCAATCTGCCAATCTGTGTGTATGTTACAGGAAAGTGACAACGTCGAAGAGCTCAGTAGGAAAAAGACTGAGAAAAAAATGTTCTAGATTGGGGCTGGAGTGATAGCACAGCGGGTAGGGCATTTGCCTTGCACGCAGCCGACCCAGGTTCGATTCCCGGCATCCCATATGGTCCCCCAAGCACAGCCAGGAATAATTTCTGAGTGCGTGAGGCACTGCCAGGAGTAATTCCTGAGTGCAAAGCCAGGAGTAACCCCTGAGCATCGCTGGGTGTGACCCAAAAAGAAAAAAAAAATGTTCTAGATGATTTTCATTTTGTCTTCATGATTTTCTGATGGAAATTTTGTACTGTGAGGATGGAGAGATAACGGTCCTACCTGGGGGTTGGGCCACTCACTCACTGCCTCACCCTCATCTTGATAAGGGCACAAGTCACTTACTTGCATATGGCTGACCCCAGTTCATTCCTTGTCACCATATATCGTCCCCCAGTTACTGCCCAGTGATCCATGAGCACAGACCCAGGAGAAGTCCCTTGAGTACTGCTGGGTGTGGCCCCAAAACCACCTCCCCAAGAGAAAAATTTAAAGAAAGTTTCTACTATAATTGTGCATTGTTTGTATAACTAGAATCAAACCAACAATTATTTTTAAACTGGAAATTGGATGTCGGAGAGAGATTACGGCAGGCAGGCCTTGCACGTGGCTGACCTGCGTTCGATCCCCAGCACCCAGTGTGGTCTCCCAAGCACTGCCATGAGTGACCTCTAAGTGAAGAGCCATGAGTAAGCTCTTAGCACCTCGGTATATAACCCCAAAACAAAACATGAAAATAGATTATGGGGCTGCAGATAACTCAAAGGGCTGGAGAATATGCTTTGCACGGCCAAATCAAACAGAAAACAGAGATTTATCTGCTACTATGAGTTAATAATTAGATTTTCATTAGGAAGTCAACCTTTATATTTAGCTAGTACAAATTATCTTTTTATTAAATCACCATGAATTACAGAGGTACAAAAATATTCATTAGTGGAGCTGGAGAGATAGCACAGCTGGTAGGGCATTTGCCTTGCACACAGCCAACCCGGGTTCGATTCCCAGCATCCCACCAGGAGTAATTCCTGAGTGCATGAGCCAGCAGTGGCCCCTGTGCATTGACGGGTGTGACCCAAAAAAAGAATAAAAAGAAAAAAATGTTTGTTACTAAGTTTCAGGTGCTCAATTTTTGAAAACCAGTCCCTTTACTTGGTTGGAACATCCCCAATGTTCCCAGTTTCCCTCTGGCCCCCCAGGCTGAGTGTATGACAGGCACTTCTCTCTCTCTAATTCTTCTATTGTTTCCTTCCCTGACTTAGATTCTCCTTCACCCCAAGCCTACTGACAAGCTTCCTACTGAAAACCAGTTCTCTTGTTCCTTTCTATTGCCGCTGGGCATTTGTTATTCCCTACAAAGTTTCTTTTTTAATTTTTTTACATTTTTAAAAGTTTTATTATTATTATTATTTTGCTTTTTGAGTCACACCGGGCGATACTCAGGGGTTACACCTGGGTCTGCACTCAGGAATTACTCCTGGCAGTGCTCAGGGGACCATATGGGATACTGGGAATCGAACCCAGGTCGGCCGCATGCAAGGCAAACGCCCTAACTGCTGTGCTATGGCCCCAGCCCCCTGCAAAGTTTCTTTACATCTCACCTAGGAGAGATTCTGTGCCTGTCCATCTCCCTCTAATTAACTTCACTCAGTGTGGTACTCTCCATATCTATCCATACAGCAGCAAATTGTATGGCTTCATATTTTCTAAAGGCCAAGTGATATTCTATTGTGTGTACCACAGATTCTTTATCCAATCAGCTATCTGTTCTTGGACATTTGGGTGGTTTCCAGATTTTGACAATTTTGAATGAACATAGGAATGAACATAAGAATGCAGATACCTTTTCTGCATTGTGCTTTTGGGCCCTCGGGGGTATATTGCAAGGAGTGGAATTGCTGGGATGTATAGAGTGCAATTCCTAGATTTTTTTTTTTACATAGTCACCATTTAATGGGTGTTTTTTTTTAATGATTTCTTTGTTTTGTTGTGTTTTGGCTTTTTTAAAACTTTTTTATTGAATCACTGTGAGACAGACCCTCACAAAGCTCTTCATGATTGAATTTCAGTAACACAGTATTCCAACACCCATCCCTCCACCAGTGTACATTTCCAGGCACCAATGTCTCCAGGTTCCCCACCCCCACCCCCAGTCTGCCTCTATGGCAGGCACTTTTCCTCTCTCTCTCTCTCTCTCTCTCTCTCTCTCTCTCTCTCTCTCTTTCACCCCCTAGATTTTTTCTCAATTCCTAGATTTTTAAGGAATACCCATATTGTCTTCCAAAAAGGCTGTACTGGTCCACATTTCCAGCAGCAGTGAATGAAGATTCCTTTCCCCCCCACATCCTTTCCAAAATTAGTTATCCTTTTTGATGAGTGATGTCTCTTAAGTGTGAAATAATATCTCATTGTTGTTTTGATTTTCATTTCCCTAATGATTAATGATGCAAAGCATTTTTTAATATGCCATCTGGCTA